GCAATACTCTTAAACGTACTTGATCCCTAGACACTTTTGATGTGTGTATGTTTCTTACATTGCACGTTTGACAAGTAAATGTCAATTGACAGTCGACAAAGTACAATATAACTATTTCATTAGTAATAAGTACTCGGTTCACAAATACGTCTCGGAAAATTTATATTAATACCATTGACTTACAATTATATGGACGTCGGGTCCGCGCTAAAAAGTGTCCGCACTTGTAAGGCGCTAAAATCGTATACAGAGCGCCAAACTCCGCTTTAGTCTTCATTTGTTCGACTGAGAGCGCGATACTACGATGACATTACAATTTAAATTTCGAATAGGTTGACTTGGGACATTTTTTTCGTGGTTTTTGTATTAGACCCGTCGTCCATGTATTTGTAAGTCAATGATTAATACGAAATTTCCATGGCTATAGTACCTAATAGTAATTATTCAATTAATCATCTATAAGAATTTGATTTCAGAACTACGTATCTTATTGATGTTTTGTTTTACTTTCCACGTGAACAATGTACAACTGTAAAACTATTTTAACCGACTATAAAAAGTAGAAGGTTCTCAATTTTTTTGTATTTATGTTACGCGATAACTCGCATTTGTGAACCGAGAGAGTACCTCAATAGCGGTCCCGTTTAAATTTGAAGGAAATATTCCACCTCTAAGGGCGGCAAACTAGGGGATGAATCCGGTTTCGCGCACTTGCCGGTAACCGATTTTAATAAAACTTGGCAAAGAGGTGTAAATCTGTGAGGTCGTTTTTTTAGTACTTATTCTGTACTGACCATTTTTATAATAATATTTACTTCTTATCAATCAAGTTAACAAATATTATATATACTCTTATATAACTCTTTTAATTGTGTACATGGTTATTTGTAAAATAATAACAAGCTCGCAGAACTATATTACTAACATCATAACTTTTAGTCCATAACCTTTTACTAAACGAAATTTACCAAAAACGATGTTTCAAGGTTTTGTAGTGTCCGACTCTCTCTCTGTATTTGGTAATAAAGTAAGTAGTAAGTTCAAACCCCCACACGCACGCGTCCTGCCCGATGACTTCACACCGTCCTGCATTTTGTATCGGATTGGTACGCTAGTGTTTTCTTTGTTAGCGCACAGAGTTAGAGCGATCTATTTTTTTGGTGCAAAAGTAAAATCTGATGAATTATTAAAAGTCTCATAACATCATAAACAACAAACAAAATTTGTTGTTTATGATGTCAGTAATTAGTCCTGTGAGGTTGTTAGTGTTTTATAAATAATCCTGTATGATTCAGAGTGCAATATTATTAATTTCCTTAGAGTCTAACTTTGTCTTGTTTTCAGATTTTGGGAGGGCTGCTGTGTATAAAATTTGCTGAAACGGGACGTTCTTGCCATCGATCAAGCATCTGTGAAGGTGTCCCCCTGACAGGTAATACTTTGTAATCATTTGTTACCTACACGTTAATAATACTTTGTAAGAATGTACGGCTTAATGAAGTAAAATAAAGGAATAGAAATGCTGAACAAATTATACGTATAACTTACGTGTCTTTGAATGATTTGAGGAGATAAAAATCATTGTATGTGAGAAGTACTGATAGGATAATTGGATGCTTACCATAGACATAGAAAAAAAGGTGAGATATGGTATGGGGGCGTGGTTCGCGTCGTCTCGATATGGTCAAAACGACCATATCGAGGTGACACGCCTACAAACATCGCCACAGTGACATGGCTATCGTTGTACATACAAGATCTCTCGTGAAACGTGAAAATGCCAAGTTGTAGCGATACACCTTGTAAAAATTGGAGTGAAAACAAAAATTTTTAAACCAGTGGGATAACATTCTACCGGCTGTTTGCATTTTTAGTTACTATTTCTATTATTATTCAATGTTTTCTTTTTGTCTCCATAGAAATTTCTAGACTCAAATATAGTGATGTTCATTTACGAAGACTGATGTTTATCGACAAAAAATTTTTACCGAAATGTTTGAATTTCTTACTATAATTTTTGTAATTAAAGTCCCTAAAATATCGAAGCGAAAAGCATTCACGTTAAATTGATTTATTTTATTTTATTATTATTATTATTACTAAACATTTTATATAAGAGTAACTTTAACACAACTCATATTTCGGATAACCGTTTCAATTTCATGTCAATTTGGATGTTGCAGTTGCTTGAAGAAAAATTTATGTGTTTTAGATATTTAAATTCCATCATACTCGTAGATTAAACGTAGAGAGTATTTTATATTTTTAAGTTTTTCCAATGAGTTTAAAATAAAAGAAGGTTGGATCGAAGCTGCAGGAAAATCGAAAGATTGGTTTTCTTATTACTATTTCTGACTTTGTTTAAATTTCCATAGCAAATGCATTTAAAAAATAAATAAAATAAAATCGGCTTTATTTTACATGTGCATGCAAAATAAATTAGAAACAATTATAGAAAATGACATAAATCCTTCATAAAAAAACAACATAATTTAATTTATTAAATTCATTGATGGTTCGAGTTTACTCTTGACAGTGACAGCTTCAGCAACCCGTGGTAACGTATAATGGAAAATTGACACTGGCGACGATCGCCATATTTTTTATATTATTCTTATAAAACTGACACTGGTCCAAGCCTAGTGGCCGCCATTAAGAAAATAATAATAATTTATATTAATATATTAATTTAATAATACACCAGTACCAGTGTACATATAGTATGAAAAATGAAATATTTTTTAATATTAAAAACAGCCACATGGTTTCCAACTATCGATTGGGTTGGACCACATCCCTCGTTGAGTAGCGTCAGTTTAAGGTTAATAAGGTTAACAATTCACGGAGCGGTTTCCATCCGCGCCAGTCGGTGCTGCTAGACAGCGGTTTTATTTCAATACTTACGACTCTTTTTTTTTTCTTTTTTTTTTGACGGGGGGGGAAATCTTTATGGATACCCCTGAGCCCAGGGAGACTCAGGGGTTATGTGGGGACAATACTTACGACTCTGCAAGTTTGAGCGGGCACGTAGCTGCCGCGGTTGCGGGCACGAAACCGTTGCGATTGTGGAACGGACCGCGAAGTTAGTGGGAGTTAATTGCAAGTCGCGCGGTTAATAGAGAACTTACCCTGCGTGCGCCTGCACCACATTGCGCCTGAACCGACCGCCAAAGTGTGAGGGCGACAACGGCCGCCAAGCGCGCAGGTCTTCGCGTTCTGCGCGGTTCTACTAGTACGCGCCGTGAAATGTGCTACTAATTTTACATACTTAACTGTTACATTCTACAGATGCCACGGTCCCGCGGCAGACGCGGGTGAAAACCGCTCCGTGAGTTCTTAGTGTAACGAAAAATGAGTTTCAGCGCCATCTAACGTGTAATAGTTAGCTATTATATACTAGCAGTATTTTTACTAAAACGCCACCTGTTGGTGAATGGCTGAACCAGGATGAAAAAAATAATGAAATATTGTAATATAATTCTTATTCAAGTGACTGTAAGTTTAACTTTGTTAAATTTTAAAATTGTTTTACGTCGTTTTCACGTTTTAAGCCCTACCCAATCAAAATCTTTAAGTTATGGTAGTAGATAATAGAGCGTAAAGTTTAAATTGCATACAAACTAAAAAGTGGCGACATCGGTACCCGATCTTACATAGCGTCAAAAAAGATGTAAAAAAACAAAAGCGTGTAAAAAACAAAATTTACATTACAGTAATTTGCTTACCTATGAAATAAACATTATTTGAGTTTGAATTTAAAAAGAATAAAATTTGATAGAAACAGTTAATTAACACTTATTATGTTATTAATAGTAAAATTATAAACAACACGATGATAAGGGTATAATGGGTTAAGCAAAAATGGTATCGAGTGATTTATTCTGCGATGCCTGCCCAAATCGTGTTCGTTTCTGACACTGATCAACATTTTTAGGGCGAAGCTAAATCAAAGCCTCTCTCGTGAAAGCTCGCTCTTTATTAACGATCTATTCATGAAAAGTATTTTGAAGTGGGAGCTCATCAAATTAAGTTCGGCAACGCTGTCAGTTTATTATGGTGTTAAATTAAAAAATAATGTATTTAGTACAGACGCGGTTGAAGCGTTTTTTTAAAATACCAAGTGACTGGACGAACAAGTTGTGCGTCTAATTTTAAACGACACGCCAGTCCATAACAGTTGCAGGGCCAGGAGTGGTATTCTGTAATCGTTGAGATTCGCTATTCGATATTCGTTATGCTTTTTTACCGACGGTATAGATTTTGTCGACAAATGCTATTCTGTACACTACTTTAACAGATTTTAACTACAATTCGGTTCGATACGTTCGTTAAGATTCGATATTTTTATCGGCTCTTCGAGAGCACCCTGTTTACTTCGGTATTCTTAACGACGCGCATTCTTCTTACATTTCACTGTTAGATATCTGTGTTTTGATCGCAATAAGTGGAAAAAAATCACTTTTTGCCTTAATATAAGCCAAAATATTTCGTAATTGAAAGGGACTTGTTCTTGGCTGTGACTTGTAATCACTTGTTTATGTCGTGATGCCGCGATTGTAGAGGTTAAGGTGAGCGACGTTTCCCTAGTAAATTCTCATTTCATCAGATATTTATCTTAGAGGATGGGAAAAAATAAAGTAAATATTTATAGAACTCCAATTTGCTTATTATTGTATCCGTCATTTTGCAGAAGTATTCAGAAAAAATAAACACAAACAGTACGTTTCCCTTTAATGTCATAAACTTTGCACAAACTAAAAAACCATAGATAAGAATGTTTGTAAATAACTATTTGAACGCTCGATCGTGATTGGTCGAGAAATATGTTTCTCGACCAATCACGATCGGGATCCTTCCGCCTTCCGTCGGGATGTTCTCGTTTATGAAACTTTGTTATGTAAATTTTGATAATGAAACGCTGACGTCACATCGCTGTCGGTATGCGTCGGTTGCAGTAACGATTTTCGTTATCGTGGATTTACAGAACAGCATAATCGGTAAGTTGTCGATACGGCAACAGACGATTTTCGCTATCAGAGCCATACCGAATCATAACGATAGCGATTACAGAATACCGCTCTTGGATTTTAAATCGCAAAGAACTGAGGGACACTGCCACTGCGCCTGTGATCTCACCAGCACTCTTACCTTTCAAAACCGGGACGCAGTAATGCTCATATTACTGCTTGGCGGTAGAAATTTAGTAAGGTGGCAGTATTTCCCTGGACAAACCCTTTCACAGGGAATTCTACTGCTATTAAAACCTGTACATTAATGATCGTGACAGCAACTTCTTTATCTTTAGCAAAACGCAGGTACGATGTTGGACTCTATAAAAGTAAATAATAAATGGCTTGAAGACGCTAGTTCAGGGAGAGATTTGTTTTTTTACTTGAAGATTTTATACTCTGTGAACGATATACCTACCACAAAGTGCTTCCCGTCATTACATTTTTAATTGTGACGTGATTATACATGTATGATGGAAACAAACACTAAAGAGACCGTGTTGACGGTGGTAATGAGTACTTAATAATAAAACATCTAAGACGGCTTTGTCAAGGTTCTTAGTATTTCCATTACAATTGACAAATACGAGCACGAGCAAACTATTTACTATCTTTAAACAGGTCCTTACACTTATGGGTCTTACAGTCTATCACTTACTACTAAACTACGTATACAGATGGGAATCACATGTGACGTCACAGGATAGTGATGACGGCTCATGCTTCTGTGCCAAATCAAATATCTAGTTAAATTTGGAATTTAATTTTTAATTTGAAATACACATTTATTTTGTGTGTTTCAGCACTAATGGTGGTCGAGTCTGGGTCTCAAACCGCACGTAAAATATTTGAAATCAAATACTTAAAAAATTAAACGTAAAACAAAAGAATAACAGGATTGTCGTTACGATAATAATATCTACATTATGATATAAGTGCGGTAAATTGAAAATTGTAATTTTCAAAGCGCACGTATGTCATACGACGTTTTATAACATATTTGCGTGGAAATAAATAAGACTCTGACTTTCTTAAATTAATAAATCTTTAATTACTTGTTAAAGCAGTTATAGAAATTTGAACAATTTTTAAAAGTGATTGTTACGTTGCCAGTTGGCATTTTTAATGTTGTCAAGTTATTATTATTAGTTACAATCTCCCCAGTCTCTCTCTCACTCTCTTGAGTGAAAATAGGAGAAACGAGACCACAGAGTTCTGCAGTCGGTGGCGGCGGCGGAGGCGGTTGCGGCTGCGGCGACTGTTGTGGTGGAATTTACGCGTGTGTACTCGTAGATGGTTGAAAGTCAACACTTGACTCCAAATTTATGTTCCTTGTAATGCGAGAGCTAATTTCTTCTTTATTTCTTATCGAGTCTTCTATGTATCCTTCGGCTACATTGCTTGACCGCCATCCTCCGTGGCG